TTTCTAGGAACGTACGTTGAATCACCAGCGAACGATGGATGAATCTACTTCATGTTGGTCCGAATACAATCACGAGGAAAGTATTCTCGTTCCACAGCCTTAATGCCGATTTTCTTCTCAAATTAGGTACGGAATCCTTATGCGTCGTTCATAGATGAAGAGAGGAGAGAGAGAGAGAGAGAGAGAGAGAGAGAGAGGGAGAGTGAGTGTTCTATTATGCAAAACTTACTTATCTCTTATTAGATTACCTTTTGAGGAAGTTACCTTAACTTCCCTTAAGAGACTTCCCTCACATCTCTTCAAAATAGTGTCTCTCAGACACACTCATACTTAAAGCAAATGGTGCCCCTTGGACACACTCATCATAGGCAGACTCTTCATCATAGAATGACGCATGAGGATTCCGTATCTACTTTGAGAAGACAATCGACATTAACCCTATGGAACGAAAATACTTTCCTCGTGATTATATTCGGACCAACGTGAAGTAGATTCATCCATCGTTCGCTGGTAATTCAACGTACGTTCCTGGAAAATTTGTTCGTAGTGCATCGAACAGATTAGTCGATTCTCCCGACACTTACTTCCTACATAGAGAGTAAAAGTGAGAAAGAAAATTTGAGACGCAAGGTTTTATCCTGATTGACCCTTAAACTAGAGTTACGTCCAGCTGAGAATTTCACTATAATTAGCACATCATACATCTATGTTACATCTCTCAATTACAAGAGAAAGAGAATATATATACGCAATAATTTGATTCAATATATACAAAGTGGGACTCCCATACTATCCTATTGATGGGGAGTATGAATCACACTCAAACATTCTCCCACTTGGTGAATACTCTACGTGCTTCTTTAAACCCAACACAATTATACACCATTCAAACTCTTCTGCACTCACTACCTTGGTAAAAAAATATGCATTATTCACCTGTGTGTCAATTTTCTCCAGTACTACAACCTTTTGTTCCACTTTCTCTCGAATGAAGTGATATTGTATGTTGATGTGCTTTGTTCTTGCATGAAATCCAGGATTCTTAGCCAAGGATATAGCACTCTGGTTATCACGCCCAATATTCACTACTCCTTGTGTAAAACCAAGTTCTTTACACAATATGTGCATCCAGATTACTTCCTTAGTAACATGAGGAAGGGTCATGTACTCTGCCTTAATAGTAGATAAAGCAAACGTATTGTGCCTCTTGCTCATCCAACTCATAGCTCCATCGAGTGGGACCCCTATGTTGTCTTATCACTGAAGAGTATGAACCACACCCCAACAATTTGTACCGTGGTTGATTCAACATATCATTTCAGAAACAGAAGAGGTCATACACTTTTTCATTTGATGTCATGTTTGAGAGATTGCTTGTGGAGTTGAAACTTTTTAAGACAATTTGAACCACATGCTAATATGTACTAAGCATGACAATCAAGAGGGGATAAATTGAATGTTTACGAAAGTCAAAACATTTTTTCGCGAAAAACATGATGGTAGGTGTTTATTTGTGCCGTTGAAATGAAAAGATAAATGATGAAGTGACAGTCCTTAATCCATCCTGAGAGTAACGGCCTGTTCAGGACCACAAATTCTTCAAGCAAACTCAGAAACATTAGCAATTTTTAGCGAAAATTGACCAAAATAATTACCTTATCGCGCAATGATTTAGGATTAAATTGTCAAAATTGAAAAATGTAGGACTGAATCTCCATCTGTACAATAAGTTTAAGATTGATTGGGCAATTATCATTTTCTTTATTTATCATATTACCACGCATAACGAGTTTATGGATAGGCTTTAAGGGAAAAAATGAATAAAAGAATTTTTTATAGAGATTACTAACAAAAGAAAAGGTTTATACCACAAAAAACCAGTAAATAAATTAAAGGTGTAGGTGGAGCTGGATATTATATTGTGTCAATTGAGCAAGACCCATAAAACTTAGAGTGAAAACCGAACAACAAAGTTTCTAGGTCTCTTGAAGAATGGGGCCCAGAATTGGCCATTACTGTTATAGTGGATTAAGGACTATTATGCTAGCCAGACTCAAACGTAAATCACCTATGTAGAAGTAGAATCTTCTATCAATCAGATATTAAAAGGAGTTTCTTTTTCTTTGTCTAATAAAAATTATATTCATTACTCAAAAAAGATACATGAAAAATACATAAATTTCATAGCAAATCCAAGCCGAGTAAAACCAATAATACTGCAAAACAAAGCCAAATCCAGAAAGTAAAGAGGATCAACAAAGTACAAGGAGGGTTAAGCACACGCTCGTTTCGCAAGAACGGATTTGTCAAGCAAAATAATCAACAGCCTATCATTGGATCTCGTATCTTCATTAGTAATGAGCATACGCTGAAAATTCTTTCTCTGGTAACTACAACATTGCCAGTTAGTGGTGCGTGTCTAGGTTCAGGTTTCTCTACACCATCGCCATACGGAGACAACAAAAACAGGTTGAACAATTACAAATGTAACATTTGGGAGAACAAATTTCTATGGTTCATCGAGACGTCAGAGCTTTTACAATCATCATTGAAACTGGAGGCAGAGCACTACATGAATAGAGCATCGGGGTATCCAAATCTCCAAAAGAATATTTATTAAAATCTTATACCCAAATTGGTAGAGGACAATTTATAAATCTAGAACTAAATCAAGAAAGTTCAAACTCTCAAATCTAGAGCTAGATCGAGAGAAGAGAGCTCTCATATTTAGATTAAGAGAGAAAGAAATAAGAAAAGAACAAAAAAAAGAAAACACAACCAAAATCAACAAAAAAGGGAGGGGAGGGTGAGACTAGCTTCAACCCTCCCCCATATGGCTGAAGGTTGAACGAGACAATAGAGAGAGAAGAGAGAAAGGAATCGAGAGAGAGAGGAACTCAAAGACACGCTAAAGCATATAGTAAAGAAATTAAGAAGATACAAAATATGCAAATAAAATTTATGGTGGTTCAGTTTTCTACATAGCCTACTTCACTCCCCTAGCTCTGACAGCCTTTTAGAAGGCAGGAATCTATTATGTCATTTTTTTAGATTTTACAACTTGTACAAAATGCTGCTCCTACACAAAACTTCTGGAGTTGCTTCTACACGTTCAAGTACCTCTTACAACACTATATCACTCTTGTGTTGGCATTGAAATATTAAAAGGAGTATTTGGTTAAAAATTATTAAGAATTAAGCATGATTTAAAATACTAATATCTTCAATTTCAATGGTTTCATTTTATCCGTGGTGAATAAAAAGTTTCTTATATTGCAAAATGGGAATAAAAAATCTATTGTTTTTGGTCGAAATAAAAATAAAGAAAAATTCTATTTGATTAGTTATATTTAAGCGTAATACAACATTGCATCATATGATAAATGCATACAACTTTCTTCAAGGAACAAGAGCACCTAACATGGCATCTAAATGTCTATAATTATCACATTATCAATCTTCCTAATCATCTGAATTAGGGCTTAATGTAAAAATAGTGTTTTTTATGAGAAAATTCTAAATTAAAGAATCTTAGATCTTCATGATTTATTCACGACAAGAAGGAAGAAGACATTCTTTTATCCATAGTAATAACTTTGAGAAAATGATTGTTGCAGAAATAAGATAAATAAAGAAATCTGATTCATCTCCCTTAACCCACTTTTATCTTAAAATATTTTATCTGATAGAGGATAGGATACAACTTTGCTATGTGTGGTGGAGAGAGGACTAGATTATTTATATATATGCTATAAATAGGTGCATTCCATCAAAGTACACATTTTTTAAGAGTTGCATCTTTTCATAATCAATACATTGTTTTTGTAAAATTCAAATAATTATTAAATTATTAATTAATAATATCATGTGTGAGTTTAACTGTGTGCATTATAGTAAACCGAAATGATTAACGATCTACCTCATATCATTATTGGTATTCCTCAAAAGCTTTGGCAAATGCACTTTGACTTACCTTAATTGACTTCTTCCTTTTTAAGCATGATTGACTTGCCATCTTTCCCATTATGGTTGCAAAAATTAATATAAGAAATAATGCGGCACAACTTCAACGCTTTCTAAGAATTGATTGGGAGATCAAGAAGGTACGAACAAATCATATTAGAAACTGTTTCGCCGAAAATGGATCATCGACGTAATACCTTTAACCAAAAGTTGGATCTCTAATTTTTTGAATGAATTAGGTTTTGTGGTGATTCGGACAGAAAATAATGTGTGCTATACCGATTACTGGCTCTACCTAAATTGAATGAATACTGAATTGTGAACAGGATTGATGAATCACAGCCCGCATCTTCTTCCTGCACGCATAGCCCGCATCTTCTTCCTGCTCTTGATCCTGCACGCATTGCACAGAGACTGCAGGACCAAAGCACAAATCAATCACAAGCTGCGTCAAAATCAAAATAGCTATCGAGTGGCAATGTAATCTTTGCTGGCTTATCACTTTCCATCACGCTGACAAACTCAACCTCATGGGGAGTAGGGGTGTCAACGGGTCGGGTCGGGTCGGGTTTTCATGATACCCGACCCGATCCGAAACAATGAATATATGTGCTTGGCCCGACCCGAAACAAGACCCGAACATGATATAGCCGCACAATCGGGTCGGGTTCGGGTCGGTTCGGGTTCGTGTTTAGAGGTTTACTAATCATTATTGAAATGATACAAAAGATAGAACAGAAGGGGCTAAGTACATTGATAAGGCTTCGTTGACAAAACAATAAGCTAGCTTTGCGGCTAATATGGACATTCTCTTTCCAACTATACATACCCCATCTACATTTTTGTTAGTAGATGGGGCTTGACAATCGTTGTTTCTTCCTGCGGAAAAATAAGTCAATTGCTACGCTTTCTACCACCCATCAACTGTAGAATTCCTACCCTAGCGAAGAGCTTGTGTCTGCAGCTTCATCGTTACTCAAGCTAGATGGCATCTGTGCGGCAGAACTGCATTCCGCATAATGCAACGAGAAAACAGTAGCTAGTGACGCTACTGGTATTCTTTCCGAAGAAGCTCAGCTTTAGACAACAAGGGAGGCAAAGCAAAGGGCACTTGCACTCAGAGACACTGTGTTGTGGGATTCATATTCAGATGCGTCTGTCTTTCTGGGTTCTTGCTTCCGTTGATGAGCACGTCACTGATGATGGGCATCACTTTCATAGCTCATCTCCAATCAAGACAAGCTGCGCACAGGCACCAACTGCATTTTCATCTACCCCACTACACAACTGCACCAATGATTTCAGAAAGCAACATCAGTGGCAAAGAGCTTCCTAACATGTAAGGTAGAAAATTGACAAGCACTTCCATGTAAAAAGCCAATAGAATATGCAAACCTGAAGTAAATACATGTCATGCGCCAAAGGTATATCTTCAGGTGAGAATGCATGACCCTCTAGCCGAACCACCTCCAAGAACTATATATGAGACATTGTGAGCAGTGACGTACAAGAAAATAACAGAGAATTCATTGAAAGCAATTAAAGAAAGATCAGAATGCATAGACAGAGCTATCACCTCCTCCTGCTCTACAATATGGGCAAGAGGCAAAATGACGTGGCTACTAGGGAAGCCATCAGGTCTCACACATGGAATGGCATAAGGACTAGTTTTCAGAGATGCAGCTGAGTATGCATCAATTCCTGTTGAAAATATGTCTCAAGTTTGAGCCCAAAGCGAAATCTAAATATTCCGAATTGGATATTTTGCGGATCTCCGAAACCGAGCAAAAAGGAAATATTTGAAATTCACTTTCCTGATGCACGTTGGAGTCCTTGTTCTCAAACTGGAAAGTCCACATGAATTTTATGTTGAACTTTGACTCGGTCAATGTGTTAGAAGAAAGAAAGAATATTATACTTTCCTAATTCTTGTGGAATTCACGGCCAGAAGTGGAAAGAAGAAATAAAATAAAAGGAAAAGAAAAGCATGGCTGGATTTGTTTCCTGATCCTAATCCGCGTGGACTTCGTTTGTTGACCAAAATGGGACTTCCTGATATATATGTTCATGGTCAGGGGATGCTTTGAAGTGCAGAGAAGTCTTGAAGCGCCGCGGTTGACGTCGAGTGCTTGGCGTGGGTTTATCTCACTGGGATTTTGTTCGTGAAATTACACCAAGAACTCAAGTGTTCGTAGCGATTAAATCTTGTGTTAAGATTTGTGTACAATTCTTTTGCGAGATTGAGAGATTATTTCGTGAGGAATTGTGGGGCTAAACACTGCGTGAGTTATTGGGTGTAATTGGGGCTTGGAAAATACTTAGAGTGTTTGAGTGACTCGAGTGTGGTTATAATCTCCGTTGTATTGCTTGATCTATAGTGAAATTCCGTGCTACTTTCCCCGTGGACGTAGGTCACTACGACCGAACCACGTAAATCTGGTGTCCGATTTATTTTCTTATTCTGTCAATTTTATTGTTCAATCGCTTGGCTTTCGCAACTATTGGTATCAGAGCTAGACTTGGCTGAGTTGAAGCGAATCGATGGCGATAGAAGAAGGAAAAGTGAGAATCGACAGATTTGATGGGAAAGATTTTGGTTTCTGGAAGATGCAAATTGAGGATCATCTATATCAGATGAAACTGCACTTGCCCTTGTCTGGGGAGAAGCCAGAGACGATGAAGCAAGCTGATTGGGAATTGCTGGATAGACGAGCTTTGGGTGTTATTCGGCTGACGTTGGCACGTAACGTCGCGTTTAACATCGTGAAAGAGACAACCACTGCGGGTTTGATGAAAGCCCTGTCGGACATGTACGAGAAGCCTTCTGCGATCAACAAGGTCTATTTGATGCGACGTCTGTTTAATTTGAAGATGAGCGAAGGTGCGTCAGTTGCTGATCATATTAATGAATTCAATGTGATCGTTAGTCAATTGAGTTCAGTTGAGATTGACTTTGAAGATGAGGTACGTGCTTTGATTCTATTATCCTCATTGCCTGATAGTTGGAATACTACTGTTACTGCTGTTAGTAATTCCTCTAGGTCGACAAGTTTGACGTTTGATGGTGTTCGAGATTTAATTCTGAGTGAGGACATCCGTAGAAGAGAATCTGGCGAACATGTATCTGCTGCTTTAGTAGGTGAAAATAGAGGAAGAACTGGTACACGTGTTAGCAGAAGTAGTATGAACTCGAATAGACGAAGTCAGTCTAGGACTGATGGTGTTGTCTGTTGGAGTTGTGGCAAGAGGGGGCATCTTAGAAGGGATTGCCTTAAGCTGAAAAACGAGAAGGGTAAGGGAATTAGAGTTGATTCTGCGGATGATGTTGCAGCTATAGCTGATGGTAATTCGGATGATGCTGATTATGTCTTGTCTGTCACTGATAATTCGTCGTTTGGCGGATGGATTATGGATTCTGGTTGTTCTTTTCACGCTACACCAAACAGGAACTGGTTTACTACTTATCAGTGCACGGATAGTAGTAAAGTGCAGTTGGGGAACAATTCTGAATGCGATGTTATTGGTGTTGGTGATGTTAGAATTAGAATGCATGATGATATCATGTGGACATTGACTGGAGTGAGGCATGTTCCAGAGTTGAAGAAAAATCTGATTTCCTTGAGTGCCCTGGATTCAGCTGGGTGTCGATATTATTCAGAAGGTGGAGTTCTAAAAGTTCTTCGAGGTGCCATGGTGATAATGAAAGGAATCAAGCATAGTGGCCTGTATGAGCTTCAAGGTGAGACAGTGACGGAATTCGCTGCGGAGACGTCGAAAGCATCGGTTCGAGAGTCTAAATTGTGGCATATACGTTTGGGGCACATTAGTGAGAGAAGCCTGAAGGTTCTAAGTGAAAGAAATTTGCTATGTGGTTATGTGGCTAACGAACTGAATATATGCAGGTGCTGTGATTTAGATCAACGGCGGAAAGTGCAGTTTAGTACGGTTGTCAGAGAAACCACGGGAATTGCAGAATTGATTCACTTAGATGTTCGCAGGTTGTCGCGATTTCCTTCAAGGAAGAGTGCCAGATTTATGCTAACAGTTGTTGATGACTACTCGAGGAAGACTTGGGTGTTTGTGCTAAGGCACAAGTTTAATGCTGTTGTTAGGATCATGCAGTTGAGAGCTTTGATCGAAAAGAAGACTGGTAAAACGATCAAGCAGGTGCAGACTGACAATAGCATGGAGTTTTGCTCAAAGCTGTTAAACGAATTCTGCATGAAGGAAGGCATAATGAAACACCGCACTAGTGCCATTGAACCACAACAGGTTGCAGAGTTGATGAGCAAAACATTACTAGAGACGGCTCATAAAATGCTCTCTAGTGCTGGTATGGCTAGGAGATTCCTGGCGGATGCGCTTTGTACGGCGAGCTATCTGAAGAATAGATACCCATCGACTGCGTTTGAATGTCGGACTCCCGAAGAAGTGTGGTCAGGTAACGTTGCTGATTATTCTGTTCTTAGAATATTTGGTTATCCATGTTATGTTCGAGTTAGTGATGGTAAGCTCGATGGAAGGACAATGAAGTGCATGTTCCTAGGTTATGCACAAGGTGAGCGGGGCTATAAGTTGTGGTGCCCGGAATTAAATTCATCTATTATCAGCAGAGAAGTTACATTTGACGAGTCTTCAGTACTTCTGGCTAGGAGTGTTAATAGCAGTGTTCATACGGATCTGGACGGTGTTCAGCTTGAGGTGGAGTTGCAACCAGAAACTCCTGAGGTAGCGGGTACTAACGAAATAATCGACACGGATGGTGCTTATAGCGAGGTGGAGCCTATTGAGCCAACGGTTGCTGTAACTGCTGAAATTGATAAGGTGCGTATTCGATCTCCTGAACGATAGTTTTGCTTTATCTGCGGTTAAGGAGATTGTGTCGGAAAATCCTTGTAAAGCGGTTAAAGGTGCATGTGGAGTTGGTATTCTGATGAGGTCCACGGCTATGGCGAAGTTCAAGCGAGGCTTGGACTTGAAAGACGTCTGTGGCGGTTGAGCCCATTGGGGCTGTGGGAGAGTAGTAGCGGAATTCGGATTCTATTGAAGCGATTGTTACTTGGCTCAAACGTCGAGCCAAGGTGGAGATTGTTGAAAATATGTCTCGAGTTTGAGCCCAAAGCGAAATCTAAATATTCCGAATTGAATATTTTGCGGATCTTCGAAATCGAGCAAAAAGGAAATATTTGAAATTCACTTTCCTAATGCACGTTGGAGTCCTTGTTCTCAAACTGGAAAGTCCACATGAATTTTATGTTGAACTTTGACTCGGTCAATGTGTTAGAAGAAAGAAAGAATATTATACTTTCCTAATTCTTGTGGAATTCACGGCCAGAAGTGGAAAGAAGAAATAAAATAAAAGGAAAAGAAAAGCATGGCTGGTTTCCTGATCCTAATCCTCGTGGACTTCGTTTGTTGACCAACATGGGACTTCCTGATATATATGTTCATGGTCAGGGGATGCTTTGAAGTGCAGAGAAGTCTTGAAGCGCCGCGGTTGACGTCGAGTGCTTAGCGTGGGTTTATCTCACTGGAATTTTGTTCGTGGAATTACACCAAGAACTCAAGTGTTCGTAGCGATTAAATCTTGTGTTAAGATTTGTGTATAATTCTTTTGCGAGATTGAGAGATTATTTCGTGAGGAATTGTGGGGCTAAACACTGCGTGAGTTATTGGGTGTAATTGGGGCTTGGGAAACACTTAGAGTGTTTGAGTGACTCGAGTGTGGTTGTAATCTCCGTTGTATCGCTTGATTTATAGTGGAATTCCGTGCTGCTCTCCCCGTGGACGTAGGTCACTACGACCGAACCACGTAAATCTGGTGTCCGATTTATTTTCTTATTCTGTCAATTTTATTATTCGATCGCTTGGCTTTCGCAACAAATTCCATGGTCAGCCCACTCAGAGCGGTGCTCCCTCAGAAAGCGTACAAGCACAGCAGGCGGAACATTCTGTAAAGTGCATTAAGAGAGGCACAGACGAAGTTAATCAGGAAAGTAAGTTCAGAGCAACAACCAAGAAACTATAAAGCAATAGCTGGTGGAAGAAAAAGGGCCTTCAGCCACCGTTACTACAAACAGGCAACTCTTGTCATGCCATTGTGAACACACCTGAAGAAGCATGGATGCCTTGGCACAGAGCACCCCTCTTCCGAAATTTGGAAACATGGATGCATTGTATTGGGAACCAAGAAATTTATTTGGAGATGAGATGAGGCCGACCCAATCGCGACCAAAACCGCGATCATCACTCGAGATCGCAGCGAACGACGCAGAAACAGAGCCGGAGGCTATTCCTCTTCCGAGAGAAGTCGATCGGGCACGGAACTGCGGGGGTGATGGGATCGGGTGGGAAGGAGGACTCACCCGGAAGGCTAGGACGGCGACGGCGACCGCTGCGACGGAGCCGGCGGAGCCATGGCGGCGGTTCCTCGGAGTCGGCGATCACGAGCTCCGCCTAGGCCCCGGCGAGAGAGATCCGGCAATTGAAGCGGGGAGAGGGATCTCCGGCGGGCGAACTCGAAGCTCGCGAGAGCCTCGGATATGGAGGTCGAAGTAAGGAGCGAAGGCGACGATGAAGTTCCCGTCCCGAGGAGGTTTCCGTCCGTCACTGACTTCTCGGTCCGGAGCTTTGGAAGAAATGATAGGGTTTCTAGCGCGTGGAACAAGAAGGACAAATGGGTGGGCTTGTTTCGGGCGGGCTCGGTAGATCCAAAACAAGTTTAAGCCTTGTTTTTATTGTTACCCAAACAAGTTAAGGCCAACCCGACCCAATATGAAAATTCCTTATTTTGATCGGGTCGGTTCGGGTTGGGTCATGTTTGAGCGGGTACTTTTGACACCCTTAATGGGGAGCTTCA